TCTTTATACCTTAGAAGGTAGGTGTTAAGTTGGCAATTAGAAGTAAGTATAGAAGAAACAGCAGACCAAATCAGCCTGCAGTGCAACTCAGATTTGATGAAATTCTCAGGCATGAGACATTACTGGTCTCTGCCAGGTTACTCTCATGAAATGGAATTAGCCCTAATTACCACCAGCATAAATGAACTAAGGATCAGGTTGGCATCCTTCTAGTTAATGTAAAGGTTCCTGTTAAGCTGTTAATTGGGAAAACAGACAATATTTTAGTAGCTCAGGAAGACGTAATTTTCCAATGTATTTCTTCCTTGTCTGCAAGTTTCTGACTGCTAATGTAAGTGTGTACCAACAGAAATTCATCAGCTTCCCCCACCCCCAGGAGACTACTTATTAGACTTATGCAATGCAAGATATTAAAAACACTCTTGTCTGTCACACAGCTACGAGCAGAGGAGGGGAGATTTGCCAGTTGCTAATGGATACCTGGAGTTTTTGTGTATGACCATGAAGAACAGCTTGTGCACTTTCACCCCCGATGTTCCCTGAATAACTTGGGTCTCATTTAGGTCAATAAGCCTTTATCAAAACGTCAGAAGTGAAAAATGTGTCTTGGTGTAAGCCGACTGGTCGTTCCCTCTAGTCACCCAAGTCTATAGGACAATCAATGTTCTCTAAGCTTGTCTGCATGTCATGCAAAGAGCTGGATGACAGTAACCATTGACTGCGTGTCTGTCGCATTGTCTTTGGGACAGCCCCTATTTGCATACTTGCCAATGTGCCTGTTATCCAATGAACCATGGAAAGCCTTTAAAAAATGTATGCACACAGCTCCGATGCAAATTTCCTATGCAGAGAACACACGCTTCTTTAAAGCACAATCCAGGCTTTCACTTTCTACCTTCCTGCTATAAAACTGAAACCGTGATCCTGACAAGGCCACAGTGGGTGCCTGGTCAAAGTGTTGTTTGTGGTTTCATTGTGTTAAAACATCAACTTTTCTCTGGGTTTTCCTTTGCAATATCCAAGATACGATTTTTGTTGTTCTTGTGCTTTTGCTAGTTGCTTTTGGGGATATCTGAACAGCATTATCTGTGCCACCACATATGATGTGAGGCCATACATCCCTCTCTCAAATTAGTTGTTATTAGTTTTGAATGAAGGATAGTTTTTGCTCCCTCTATGGTTGTTATTGTCTTTTGTTAAGGGAGGAGTTTCCTCCATGGTAGTGGTGAAGGGAGAGGTACTAGCCTTCTGCATACACAGGAGTACTTGGATGCAGTTTATTGACCATGTCTGTGAAATAAATACAGTCACCTGATCAAAAATGATGGCCTCTGGTGCTTTCTGGTGTGACAATTTGTGCTGGTTTTGCCTGGGTTAGAGTTAGTTTTCTTCATAGTAGCTGGTATGGCGCACTGTTTTGGAAAACAGTGTTGATAATACAGGAATGTTTTAGTTATTGCTGAGCAGTGCTTATGCAGAGTCGAGGCCTTTTCTGCTTCTCACATCACCTTGCCAAGGAGTAGGCTGGGGCTGCACGGGAAGCTGGAAGAAGACACAGCCAGGACAGTTGACCCCAGCTGACCAAGTGGACATTCCGTACTGTATGGCGTCATGCTCAGTATTAAAAAGCTGGGGGAAGAAGGAGGAAGGGCAAGATGTTTGGAGTGATGGTGTTTTGTCTTCCCAAGTCCATTATGCATGATGGACCCCTGCTTTCCTGGAGATGGCTGAACACCTGCCTGCTGATGGGAAATGGTGAATTAATCCCTCCTTTTGCTTTGCTTGAGTGCATGACTTCTGCTTTACCTATTAAACCATCTTTATCTCAACCCACTAGTTATCTGTTAGAGCTTTTCAGCTATTAATTGGCAGGCTCCTGTGCTTGCCATGGGGCTTGCTTGCCTCACTGTATATCAGTCTAATGCTCGTTAGTGGCAGCTTTTTGCATTCAGTGCTAGCTGTACTGCTGTGCTGCTTCTCATCTGACCCTGCTGTGCCTGGGAACATTTTGATAACAGCGTGGCAATGGGCCTGGGCTGGCTGATGACCAAGGCATTGCTGCTGTTTCTGTGGTGCTGTACTGGAGAGGCTGGAATTCCAGTGTGACCTCAAGTCATGGTGAGTCCATGTAGGGACAGGATCCCCCAAAGCTTCTGTGGCTGTGGATAAATCCACACCAGAGCAGGTACATCTTGAAGCACCGATGTCCGTGATTGTGTCTGTGTGGCAGCAGATATACCTCTGAAGGGGCTGTGGCCCAAGGATAAGTCTACACTGGAGAAGATACACCTTGAAGCATCTGTGCCTGTGGATAAGTCCATGCTGCAGCCAGTACACCTTGAAGCATCAGTAGCTGTGCACGAAGTCATGCTGGAGCACCTCAAAGGATGTGACTGTGGATAAGCCCACAGCAGATCAGGTACACCCCTGGTGGGACTGCAGCTGTGAGTAAGGCCCCGCAGGAGGTGTATCTCTGAAGGCACCGTGGCCCATGGAGAAGGCCACGCTGGAACAGGCGCACCTCAAAGGAACTGTGGCTGTGCACAAATCTATGCTTCAGCAGGTATATCCCTGGAGACACTGTGGCTCATAGATAAGGCTCCACTTGGAGCAGGTACACCCCTAAGGGTGTGGTCAAGATGCTGGAGTGAAGGAATGCCATCCAGGCTTGAGAAGTGGGCCTGTGCAAACCGCCAACCTCATGAAATTCAACAAGACCAAGTACAAGATCCTGCCCTGGACCAGGGCAATCTCTGGGCAGAGATTGGATTGAGAGCAGTGCCAAGAAGTACTTAGGTGCTGGTTGATGAGAAACTCAACATGAGCCAGCAATGTGTGCTTGCAGCCCAAAAAGCCAATCATATAATGGGCTGCGTCAAAAGAAGCATGGCCAGCAGATCGAGAGAGGTGATTCTCCCCTCTGCTCTCTTGAGACCCCACCTGGATTACTGTGTCCAGCTCTGGGGCCATCAGTGTAAGAAGGACATGGACCTGTTGGAACGAATCCAGAGGAGGGCCACAAAGGTGCTTAGAGGGCTGGAGCACCTCTCCTATGAAGACAGGCTGAAAGAGTAGGGATTATTCAGCCTAGCAGAGAGAAGACTCTGGTGAGACCTTACAGTGGCCTTCCAGTACCTGAAGGGGGCCTATGGGAAAGCTGCAGGGGAACTTTTTACAAGGTCATGTAGTGATAGAACAAGGGGTAATGGTTCCAAACTGAAAGGAGGTAGATTTAGGTAAGATATTAGGAAGAAATTCTTTTGTCTGAGAGCAGTGAGGCACTGGAGCAGGTTGCCCAGAGAAGGTGTGGATGCTCAGATGGGTCTTTGAGCAACCTGGTCTAGTGGGAGGTGTCCCTGCCCATTGCAGGGGGGTTTGACTAAGTGATCTTTAAGGTAACTTCCAACCCAAGCCATTCTATGATTCTATGACTGCAGTTTGTGTGTAAATCTAAGCCAGAGCAGGTGCAAGGAGAGGAGTTCATTGCAATGGTAAACACAATGGTCTGGTCCAAAGGGACTAGGAATGGAGATTGTCATGGAAGTACCTTTAAATTGTAACCTGGGATTTGAGTTGCATGTTATAGGAATCACTATAGCAGGAACACCTTGATGATAGCCAGGCAGAGGGAGAAGTTCATTATAATATTAAACCTTATAAGCTGTCCCAAAGGGCCAGGAGTGGAGGTTGTAATGGATATACCTTTAAATAGTTGTAACCCATCATTTGAGTTTATTATTATAGGAATTACTGTAGCAGGAACAACCTGAACCAATGGAGGATGAACCCCACAAGAAGCAGTGCAAGTGCAGCAGTGACCCGACCTGGGTTGGGTTTAGCGCCCAATGACTCCAAGTAACACACCACCTCTCCTGTCCTGAGTGATGACTATAACAGATGGAGCCCAAAGTCATGTTCTAAATGAATTCAATGGACATTTTGTGGACATTTTATGGGCATTTTACAGGGGTGGTCCAAAGGCTAGAGGAATGATACCTGTGTATTATAGCAAAGAATGGGAAGGGGAGCAGTCGTTCACGAGGACATATTGGATAGTTTGAGACCTGAGCATGATGTAAATGGTTTGGAAAAAGTGGTGGAGAATGTGCTGGTTTTGGCTTGGATAGATTTTTTTTCATAGTGAAAAGTATTTAATAATAGTCCAATTTGAAAAAAAAAAGGTGAAGGGTTTTGGTGGATCCTTTAAGAACAAAGCTATAGAAGAGGATCTTGTCTGTATCAAAGGGTCTGAGCTTCGTGTTTATTATGACCAATGATCTGGACAGTTTCATTATATCTTGAAAACCTAACTGGGCTACAGGTGACTATAAACAATTGTGACAGGTGTTCTGCTGCATCTGACATCTTCCACAGGTTATGAGATTGTCAAAACTAAGGGAAAGTGTCATGGCTAGTATTCTCCTAACTTTTCTAGAAGAGTCATGGAGTCAAACTTCAGTGCTGTAGTGCCCTGCAATGAAGAGTTTGTTATGCCATCAGGAGACAGTGCACCTGAAGACTGACATATTGTAATACTAGATAACTTTCTTCAATCCATGTGAGAATAAAGGAAGACTGAAAAAGTATCAGTAAGTGGGAGGGCAAGCTGATACAGCAAATGGAATGTGAAGCACACCTCTTACCGAAATGAAATATGTTAGCAAAATACTCATCTTCTGAATACAGGCTCTGCTTGTTTTCTTTGGCTCAGTCAGGAAACCTTTTGTTTGAATTGGACTAAGTGAATTGCACAGAATGGTTTTCAGTTTTAGTATGTGTAGACAAGCCAAACTGCATGCAATTAAAGTATTTAAACTTGGTCTTAATCATTACTTTCTGTACTCTTACAGGGTTTTATATGTTACTTTAAATCATTTTGATATAGCTGATATTTTGTTCACCTTGCAAATTTTACGTTTTAGAGTTTCTTTAAAGATTCTGAAAAAAAGATGCAAGACATACAGTAGAGAATAACCTAGTTCCATGTCTGTTTCTTTTAGGAAATTGTACTGGTGGTATTCTTTGGGACAGAATATGTGGTTCGGTTATGGTCAGCAGGATGCCGCAGTAAATACGTTGGAATATGGGGAAGGCTCCGTTTTGCAAGGAAGCCTATTTCAATCATTGGTGAGTATGCACAGCTTGCAAAGTTGATGTAGACAACAAGTAAAGCTTATCCTTAAAAGTTTTGAGATGTGGAATTTCTGCAGTAGTTGAAGCCAAGTTAGAGCTAGGGCTCTTGTCACTAGCATTGACATAGATCTGAATTTCCTTTCAGGAATCCATGGCACTATCGTTTGAGAATAAATGTAGCCTGGTTTGTTTTTCTAAAAGAGTGGAGTGTTTTGTTTTAACAAGTGATCTGAAGCTGTGCCAGAAATAAGTCCTGGCCATCGTCCTGTCTCCTGTGACCTCGGGATCCCAGACACTGCAGGATAGCTACAACTGTATTTTTTTAAAGATACTCAACAGCCCTTTTTTTCCCCGCCCCCAGCACCCATTTGAATAATTTATTGAATTAATTTTGCACTCTAGTTGAGCTGCATACTGCATGGTGGAGCATGCCAGATGCAATGCAGTTACTACTTTGTGTATCTATTGGATTAAAATACGGTTTTCAGTGATGCTTTTGGAACAGGGCACCTGACTTTCCTTGATATTCACCGCAGTTGGCTTTCTAATGTGACTTCAGGGTTCTTAGAAATTATAACCATATATTCCATATATGTCACAAACAATTATTTCATTTTTAGAATGCTCATCATGCATTTAACAATTTCACTGGGAGAAACATAATAATCCAAAATCAATCTGCATTTTATTAACCAATGTTTAGAGAACTATGTAAAGACCCTTGCCTGAAGCACTTAAAATATAAACGGATTAAACAAAACACATTCTGGAAGAGGAGTATTGTTACAGAAGCATAGTAATTCTTGTTCTGTGACATAGTTTTTTCCACTACTCAGAACCATTATTTGTTGTTGAGTAGAGGATATGGTTTTTCATAAACTATCTTCAATTTTGCTGAATATAAATTAAAAAAATTGTACCTGGGTATTTTTACAATAATAAAACAGTTTAATTTAGCTTCTCCGTGCACATATATAAATAACAACTGTGTCTAGGTGTGACTACAGCTATAAAATGTCTTCGACTGTATCTTTGCATTCTGTCCACAATGCGTTTCTCTTGAGACCTAGAACAGGATTCTGAGACATCATGGAATTTATTTCAGCTTGGAAAGCAAAACAAAGCTCCATTTTCCTAGATATGTATCAACAACTACTTCATTCTCCAAAATAGAAGATTCCTTTCCAAGATTAACTAAGCCCGAGGCACAAAGGTTTAGAGTACAGTCCTAGGGTAATGACTGACTGAAATTAAATTAAACTCATATGCTATTTCCAGTTTTTCTCTCCCTTTTAGACTTGGACAGGTGAAATAATAGTAAGGCAATTGTCTTATATATGAATTAATAAATCCCAAAACCTGTGTCAATGAATAAAATACTAAAAACTGTCTAAAACGGCAGAGAAAATAAGATACAAAGAAGAGATAATAGATGGAAACTGCTGAAATTCCTCGTGGGTCACAGCTAATAAGGATTCCAGGCTGCTGAGGCTGCTTTACAGTAACTCATATCACACTCGCAATTCGTCTATAATGTGACCATCTTGAACTCATCGCAGTAAAAGCTTTCTATCATATCACACAATTGTATTTTCTTTATATGCTGCAATAGACATCTCTTGATACATAAACAAAAATCTTTAATTTGAGGTGACTGTTCAAATTGTTATAGTATTATTGGTATTAGTTCTAGTAACAGTCTTGCAGAAGTATTGCAAGATGCTGCTAACTCATTTTTTCAATTGACTTTTATTTTCCAGATTTAATTGTGGTTGTTGCTTCCATGATAGTTCTTTGTGTGGGCTCTAAAGGTCAAGTCTTTGCAACTTCAGCTATCAGGTAATTATAAGAAATAAAAGAAAATATTACTGCCTGAGTAAGGTGGTTTTGTCGAGTTTTTTCCCCTTTTTTCACTTCCTGTTTCAATTCTTGCAGGAGAAAATGAGTCACTGCTCAGAGTCATGTAACAGAGTAGGTCACCACTCATGTATGGGTGTGAAACAGTGATCCCATTAAGTGTAGGGGAAATAATATTTTGCATGTGTTGTCTGGTGGTAATGCATTTATGTCTGGTGGAGCTAAAGGTGCACATAGCCTTGTGCCGTTTTCCCAACTAGGTCGGTTCTACCCAAATCCTGTTTGAGTTTCTTGGCTCAGTTTTATAGCAACTCTTTCATGCTTCATGTCTCTGACATCTTCAAGCTTCTTCTTAAAATGTCTGGAGTTGGTGGTTGTGAATTCCTGATGGACTGAATCCACCTTGTGCTCAGGAAGGTCACACCGCTTGTTTTTCTTGCAAGAAAGGGCACTTGGTAGTGTACTGTGCTCTGTGCACTAGCTGCAGTGATGCTCTAGGATTCCAGCAACTCTCATAAAAAGACAATTTTAAAATAGGATTGGACTGTCTAGTTCAAATTGCCTATGAAATTCCTCAAAGGTGAGGAATCCAGATCTTTAGTTAGATGTTTCTGTATGTTGTTTCCCATACTGGCAAGCAGGTAAAATATGAGTTGATGAATGATTTCTATAACATTCACAGTTTGTGTCCAAAATTCCTGAATCCTTGAGTTATCTTTACTAGCCGTGTGTACAAAGGTCTGTTCTCTTGTGCAATCTCCCTATGCTGTCTTCATAACAAATGATGAAAGATTGGTGAATTAAGTAAAAAGAGACAGGCTTCTAAGTCTAAAATAAAATACTATGCCTCTCTTTTAAAATAATCCTTTGGAAGAGTCAGACCACCTCTTGGCCTCCATTTCTTCTCTTGTATCTTTAGTCTTTTCATTAATTTAAAAATTTTGTTCCAGGGGCATCCGATTTCTGCAGATTTTACGAATGCTGCATGTTGATCGTCAGGGTGGTACGTGGAGGCTGCTGGGATCAGTAGTGTTCATACACAGACAAGTAAGTTTGAGTGCTCTAAGGAATGGCATAATAATTGATGCAAAAGTCCTTGTATCTAGAACGGCATGTATGCAGACATGCTGATGATGTCAAATATATTTAGTGTGGAGGCAGGCAGTCATTTATTGTAAGCAAGTATGGTTGTTCTGCCTTGTTCAAGGGACAAAAAGTTCCTTAAAAATATTCACCTCCACTTTGGCAAACTTTGGACTTGTAGTTGGACTTAACCACTTTCAAAAAATAGTCTGAATAGTTCTAAAAATATGTATCTAAATTCCAAAGTTGTTTTGTATGTGGCACTTCTTGAAAAAAACACCCAACTGTTTTTTGGTGACCAAAGGGTTTCTGAGTCAACTTGCAAGTAAGGAGGTTGTTTTGACTCTGAAATGTGCATGCTTGGACCAAGTCATCAGCTATGGTGTAAATTCTTTCACCATTGAGCTCAGTGGATTTTTGTTAATTTGCAAAGCCAACAGTCAATGTCAGTGTTTATTGATTGTTGAAATTAATACTTCTGTTCCAATTATCTTTTAAAAACATCAGCGATAAGTAATTTAAGTGGCTTGATAATATCATAATGCATTTATTTTGATTCTCTTTGCAGGAACTGATCACTACACTCTACATTGGATTTCTGGGCCTGATTTTTTCCTCTTATTTTGTATACCTGGCTGAAAAAGATGCTGTAAACGATTCTGGAGAAACAGAGTTTGGCAGCTATGCAGATGCCCTGTGGTGGGGAGTAGTAAGTATAAGAATTTCACATGTATGAAACATAGGGAACACCTTCAAATGTGGAGTAAAGTTCAAGCAAACATGGAGTATGATCAGGACTTTGAAACGACCTCTTATTGCTTCAATACACTTTCTGGTTTTGTAATTCTATGAAACTAAGATAATATAGGTGATCAGTAGTTCTATTTGATGCTTATAGTCTTACGTGATGTGATCAAATTATGTATACAAGATGTAGTAAAATCTATTCTTATTTCTTTATCCTGTCTTCCCTTCTGTTATAGCGATTACTTCTTGATACCTTTCTTATGATAGGTTCAACCTTCTAAGGCAGTAAAAGTCTTGCTAAATCAGGGCTAGTGTTTCTGGGGTTTTTGTGTGTGTGTTTGGGGTTTTTTTTTTGGTCCTTTCTTTAAACAGGTACCTATAGTTTGCAGTTCAGCCTGGGTCAGTAATTCCTGGTTTGTTTAGGATGGACTAATTCCAGAACAAGGAACATCTGAGATATTTAAGACATCCAAGCACAGGACTGTTTTAAAGTGATTATATTGCTTTGGAACCCACTTAGTATCCTTATGTGGCATTTGTCTGTGCTATGGTGACATGCCATACTCTCAGAGATTTCTCAGGTTTTCTTAAGGTGTTGCCACACTTTGTTGTAGATGTATCTTTAGTTGTGCTAATGAAGTTCTGCTTTCTTGCTCTTGCCACTGACACTTCTCTCTATTTTTGTTTCTTATGTGTACATACTAGCCTGGCAGCTCTATTCTGGGGTTATATTTTAGTAAACATTTTAATTTTGTTGCTTCTGCTGGTAACAATTCTCTCTTTTCTATGCAAATATTAGGTTGACTACTCTGTTCTGGGATTTCCCATCTGTAATTGTTTGCTTTTCCTTTTCCTATTACAGTTCAAAGAAAAAAAGCTTTTTGGAAGCTGTTTTTCCTTATCGTTAGCATTCAAGCAATGACTTGTTTTTATTTGCCTTAATTGTATGTAGCTTAATAAAACAAACTGTCATCATTAAGTGTTACAGATCTTTAAAATGCATAGGCATCATTAATGATTCTATGCTTGCATTTTCAAAATGTGCCAATCTTCTAGAGTCCTCTTTTTGCTGTTCTAAATCAAAAGACATTGTTTATTTTTTCATTACAAATTACACTACTAGGAAGTCTTATGGACAAGAATGATAGGACTAATGCTTCCATTTCACTAATAAAACATTTTTTAAGAAATATTTTTAGTAAACCTCTGCATGTATGTGCTTATATTGTCTTCTCTCTACAAACTATACCACTTGCTTTTTCAGGAAAGAAAGACCTATTGATGAGGAAGTCTATTGCAGGTCTCCTGAAATGCATATGTAGCCTTTTTTGAATGCAGCAGGATTTGTTTACGTTGCTGCTAAGATCTGCTGCAGAATTTTTTCCTCTTGCTGACTGCCACAGTTAAATACAGCCTCTCTTAGGGCTGGAAAACTTGCTGTGTAGCACAAGGAAGTGGCTTTCTGGCAGGTAGCTTTTTCAATGCTTTTATGTCATCATGGTGTTATTATTTTCCAGTACAGTGGTCAGATGACTCGCTAATTAACAGTGGCAGATGCAGCTGCATTTAAAAACACATGCTGTCATTAGCGTCGGCATTAAAAATTGAGTATGTGACAGACTAGATTGGCTTACTGAAAATACAGTAAAACCTTCCATTGAGGCAGGACAATCTGTCAAGATACTGCAATGTTGTCCCTTCAGGGGATTATTGCTCAGTTAATTGGCATGCTGGTTATTTTGTCTTTCTAATTACAAGTTTACTTATTTAACAGATAAGTTCAATCGTGATAAAATTCTTTGTCTATTGTAACTTCTATTATGTTGCAGCATGCCAGTTGAAGTGTGAGTCTGTATTCAGTGAACCTATAATGTAATTTCTTTGGTATTAAAAATAGAATTCAGTGTTCTTCTTCTACTTTAAGCACATGCTTTTGCTAACTGCTGAAATGTTTTAGCAAAACAAAACTGAAATGGATTCAGGTCCATCCATTTCTGTTGTTCTGATACTGTAATATTCTTCATGCTGGGGAAAAGCCCTATAAAGTTAGGACAATAAGTGGGAGGTCATTAAGTATCAGGATGCTTCCTAATGAAGATCTCAAACTCATACAAAAACCTTCTCAAAGTGTCAGGTCTCAAAAGTTTCAGTTGTTTTACCCAGAATTTTCAGAGTCACTTAAATATTCTGGTTACTGAAAACCTGTCTCATTCTGGGCATGCACAAGAGGATGATTCACAGCTCCTGTATTAAACACCATCACAGATATGTGATCCGCCTGGCAATGCAGCTGATCACACTTCTCTGAAAGTGTACTTACCTTACATAGTAGAAATTTCTTCTAAAAGAAAAGTACTTGATAACATTTTCATATCCCCTTTCTCACTCTACAACATTGCACATTTTTTTATTTCAGTGTACGCCTGCACTACTGGCTACTACTACTACAAGCTCTTTAGGTAGCAGCAATAGAATATTTAGCATAGCATAGAGTAAACCATATAGAAGTTCTGTGCTACCACAGCTAAACTGCATCTGGAATTGGGTACTTTCATATTTCTGTGCTTTGCTGACTATAGACATACCCCTGGGGTGCATAATTTTTAATTAAATGTTCTTCATTGTCATTGTTGTTATTTATAAATCTATATTGCTTTTCCATTTCCATATATGAATTGACCTCCTGGTCTTTATTTGAATTTCCTTGAGAACTCTGGGCTGTAGCTATTCACCATTCCAATCTATAGACTTCTTGAAGAAACCAAAGGTTACATTGTGTCATAGGGTAAAGATTTGTCTGTATTATTGCTGGTTTTGAATGCAGCGCATGTTTTATAAATAATTCTGCCAATGGGTCCGTATCTGTGTGTCATTCAAAAGACAAGTTTAATATTTGCAAGTAAAATGCAAGTAAAATGATGAATTTTTCAGCTCCCCAGTGCAAGTATTCAAAATGAGTCTGCTTGTGTTGTCCTTCACATCCAGACTAACAGTCTTAAAGACCTCGTATAGGTCTTAAGCTATCTGGATGCTAAAACCAAGAAGAATGATTTAATACTATTTTTTTTTGTGGTGGTTTTTTTTTTTTTGCTTGTGCTTTTTGGTTGTTCCCCTCTCCTTCCCCCCTCATCTCCTTAGGCATAAAATTCAATTATGCCTCAGGCAGACTGAGTGGAGCTCCCCTTTTGATATCCACTGAATAATACACGATTTCCAGCCTTCACATCTGAACAAATATCCTTCAAGAAAACAATTATGTGGATTGTGCTAACAGTCTCTTTTATCATGAGCGCTATTTGCCACAAGCAATTATTGAATATAGTCATGCACGGATATTACATTGTGCCTGTTCCTTTGAATTGGTTTGAATTGAATCAAGCAATTGTCTGGAAGTACCAGCTTTACTTAAGAGCTTCTTGTTCCTTTAAGTCATCGATATATGCTTTCTTGCCAAGCACCAAATTCAACAAAACATTGATAAGGTTGCTTACTTCTCAGCATACATAAAACCACGTTCCTATTTAGCAAAGCCTGTCAGTATGTGCTTATGTAAATTGAAAATCAAAATTGTGGGATAGCTTTGCTGAAAAATAGCAGGAAGCATCACTTCAAACTACATGAGCGTAGAACTTTTGCTAAATTAGAACAGATTTGCTTTAATTTATAAATAGTTGAACATATATATTAAATAATAGCTACATAAAAGGGATTTGTGTTACTCAGAATCCTTTTTCTCGCCCTTCTAAATTAACAAAACTGTTGAGTACACTGACTTCAATTTTAGACAGAAGGCAACACTTGTTTTTTATTCGTTTTGTGGTTTACAAGTCAAGAATATCAACTATAGGCGTGCCATATCCCTGGTTTTTTGTTTTTGTTTTTTTGGTATGAAGTGTTTGGGGTTTTTGCGGGGGAATTGGTTATTTTAAGAATTTTTGGAGTGGGGTTCAGAAGATGTAAAGGTTAGTATTTTTGAATGCTTTTTGCATGCAATCTCTGCATCTTTCAACTGCCTTCTCATCTCTAAGCTTTAATTCCTTGAGCAGTTCCAACTATAATTTGTTCTCATTTAATGAAGTTCTGTGGGGTAGATATGGAGAAACCTTTCAAAAAATCTAACTTACAAAATAAATATGTAGATATTCTTACATATAGAGAACACTCTTAGGACTTAATTTCCAAGTCTTTAAAACTCTATCAAAAGATATCAAGAAGCTAGGAAAAAATTATACCTAGATGAATCCAGAAGTTTTCAGTTTTGTTTTCCATTTGATGAAACGAAAGTATTTCAAAATAGAGATAATTTTTTATGTCAGCCTCTAGAAAAAATAATTATAATTAAGTAATTTAGCTTTCATTTGAATTTCAATAGGTAGAACAAATTGTGCTCCTGTTGAAATGGGTCTCTAGGAGACTGAAATTAACTTTGCTCTGATTTTCCTCCATCAGATGGCTAGAATTATCCTCATAGGAAGATGCTTTAAAACTTCCCTAAGATATTTTGTTTGTATATGCTTAGGCATTCTTTCTTCAGCTTGCATTACAATTGTAATTCCAATGTTTCAAAGCTTTTGTGTCCTGTAGAATACAGTCTCTTAACTTGTTCATCTGAAGGATACAACTTCAATCTTCTCGGAGTGCTGCAGTGTACCTAGAGGCCATTGGAGCAGAAAGTGGCATTTCTGTTGTGTGAATCAGTTCTTATCACTAACTTCTGTACATGCACAAGGAAGAAGGATATTGTCATTTGGACAAGAATTCAAAATATCAAAAGATCACTAGGGGTTTCTTAGCTTTATACAGATTACATACTCCACAGTAAAATAAAAGCATGAGTGTCTAACCTGTTTGCACTTGTGCTGCATGCATTTCGGCAACTTGGAAAGATTGTACTTTACATTAAATTTGCATGAATGCAGTTAACTGAATAAGATGTCAAGCAGTAGAAAGGCTTCTAATGTGTTCATTACACTTAAGTGTGCAGGAGAGCATTCAATCAGGTTTGCAATTTACTATACTTCAGCTGCAAAGAAATCAGGGAGCTGGCCAATGTTTCTGGTATATCACTGGATTTTTTTCTTGTATTGCTTGCTTTATTCAAGATGGGTATTGCAAGTGGGTCAGGTAGTTCTGAGTGGTATTTGGTAAGCACAACAGTACCTAATGCAGCTGATTTTGAGGTTGGAGTGCTGCAAATGTAGAAACAAAGTAATTAAAGTATTTTCTATAAGGTAACTTTCCCTTATTTGCTCTATTGCTTGGCTTTTTTATTTTTTAGCTTGTGTTTGCTCCCTCAGTCCTGTGACATCTGCTTTTTAACACCTCCAATTCATGCATTCTTGTATTTTTTAGCTGTTTAACTATCCCAAATTTTTGGAAGGCACACAGCCAGTATTTCATCAGCTGAGTTACTGACCTGATTAGTTTGCTGTGCTCACTTTAACCCCATAGCCTTGAACAAAATCCCTTCCCCATTTAGTGCTGACAAACATTACTGTTTCTTCTTGCTGTGTGGATTTTTGCTTCGTATTTTGTCCTTCAGACTTTTGATGCATATTTAATAGGAACAAGATTAGTCTTAATACCAAAGCCTGTGGTGCCGTACATCAGATCGAAGTTCTGAAATAGTTAATGGATGAATATGAATTTGTTCCTAGTTAAAACAATTAGTTTTACATGCTGCTTCTCAATGAAAACTTAATATGTGAGCTCTTGTATCAACTGAATTTCATTATGCCAACACATTTACTATGCTAGAGTAGAAGTTGAGTCAGTATTTCCATTATAAGATCCTACTTTACAACTGTAAAATTAGCATTGTACTCTTTAGGGGTTTATAATCTGGCTGTAAAAATTCATTTAGGGCAGAAACTTGGCATGTAGCATTTCAACAGCAGATATCTTGGAGAGGGAAAGAAAATGTAATTTTGGAATACAATGCATTTGTAGATGAATTGGAGTTAAGAGGGCACTTCGATTAGCAACCCAATTTCCAAAATTATTTTTAAAAAAACTCCTAAACAAACAGCACAGAAAACACTTTTCTGGTGTCACTGATGCTTCATATAGACCAATTCAGGAGGAGTGGACGGGTTGGTGGTTGTAGCAAAGGGGAGACAAATACTTCTTAGTTGTATATGAATTTTCTTCAGTTATACTTCAGTCATCTCACGAGCACCTATTTCGTTTCACATTTCTAGTTAATGTGTGTATTTCAACATGATGTTAAGATTGTGACACAGAGTAGTTGATAAAAATTTTCAATGACAAGATTTTGTAAATCTCTTCAAAAACTGAGGCATAAACCCCTAACTTCTCATAATCTTTTACGTATGAAGGTATTGGACGCTATCACTTTTCCCATAATTATATTTTCTTGTTTATGCTGTATTTTTGGATCAGGATATTGTACTTAGAATTTAGGGTTTATTTTTTTTAAACTAACCCTCTTACGTAGGTAAGGAGATAATGTTATCTCTTCAGTTCCTCATCAGGCCCTGAATTAAGGTGGTATTTCAACAACAATTTCATTAATACAGCAAAGGTACTTGAGTACTTAATCACCTTACTAATTCGTAAAATACTTTTATGGGATATGAAACAGTTTTGGAATTTAGCCACATTTTACAGACTTGTATTAAAAATTAAAAAGAAAATGTTTTGAATATCAGCAACCTGCAATGAACTTTTAACATCACCACCTCAAGCAGCTGGATCTGTTCCTTTTCCGTCTGTTTGATAGACACACAAAGATGTTGCTTAGAAGGTGGACAGTTTGAGTATGGCTTGCTTCATGTGTTTCTGAGGTACAGCTCAGGTCAGAACTTGCATCCACAGAATTTCCCTCTGGTGTCTCATCTTTTAGTAGGAGCGGACAATTATTAAAGTATTTCTTGAAACACTTGTCATGACCCTTTATTTCCCCAAACCCAGATTCTCCATCCCTTCACCCCCTTAACATCTTGCCTCTCTAAGTATGCCCTTCCTTTCTCTTGTCCCCTAGAGATGCTGCCCTGCATTGCCTGCATTTCTGCAGTCATTGGGTGATGTGCATTACACCAGACTGGTGAACTAGGAGCAACTGCAGGACACGGTGGGGATGTTATTGTCTGGGACTAACATCCTCTGTGTCCTGAGCAGCTGAGGCCCATACTGTCAGAAGAAAGTCTGAACAGCCAGCAATGGGAGTGTGCTCCATGTGGTTTCACATGGGCTGATTTGGTTAGCCTTCTTCAAAGTCACAGATAAAAATCTCACCAATTTCCAAATTCAGAAATAGCTTGTGGCATAGGTGAATTTAAATTGCTCTCAGATGCCAAATGTATCCTCCTGCTTCAAACAGACCCATTCTTTCCCTGAGCTCATGCAAATAATGACTTATTAAGCCTTGTTACACTACATCACTGGGGTTGTAATCTTTACTTCAGTGTTTTGAAACCCAAACTCAACAGATGTTTCCTGCATTAAATTATCTGTTCTTGCTCTTGATGTATTATATAATTAGTGATTCATTAGACTGTTCTCAGGGTTTTTACTCCATGGCATTTTTTCAGCCTCTCTTGCTTTTTATACTGATATTATTCTCTAGAATACTTCAAGTCTGACCGCAGTCATAGTCCATGATTACAGTGTACATATGCTCTTTCTTTTGACAGCCCTGTAATACTCTCAGCAAACATCTCCTGCTCATGAAGAATATCACCAGTTCAGTACTGCTGGCAGCTTACTCCTAAGGAAAGTGTATGACATGGGCAAGCAACCCATATCCCAGTAACTTCATACGCTGTAAAGCTGCCTCAGCTATGAAGTCTTAAATTAATGGTTTTACTTTACAAGATTTTAAACGTGCATTTTATTGTAATTAAATTTCCTTTACCTTTTCCCACCTATTATAGATGGGGAGGCAAACCTGGACAGGAGAGGTATTTTCATTAATGTCACAGAGACTGTCATTGGGAGAGTTAGGAATGTAACTGATGTTGCTTTAAAATTAATAAAAAAATAAGAAAGAACGACAACCTAAAACTGCCACATTAATACTCACTGTAATGCTCTATGTATTTCACCTTACAGGTAACTGTTACAACTATTGGCTATGGGGATAAAGTGCCTCAGACCTGGATAGGGAAGACCATTGCATCTTGTTTTTCAGTATTTGCAATTTCATTTTTTGCACTCCCTGCGGTAGGTTATCTTGTACTTTTTTTCTGTCAGTTTGATATTGACTCATTAGACATCAGAGGAAACTGTTGATATTGATTCTTTAACCTTTTGTTTAACCTGATGTTATGAAAACTTTGTATTAAACTATTATGGCATAGTTAAAATTTATGTAGCTTGCAGAAGTGAAAGAGCTTCTTTAAGTCAGTGGAAAAAAAGGTATGTAGTGTTTATTGTATGCAACACTAGATTTGGTGTGTATTTGAGAAAGAAATGTTTAATTCAAAATACTTTTTCTGCCTATCTCAGAAGGGTAAAGGAAATTATTTCTCATGCTAATTACTTCTGGACTCAGTGACTTAGTGATGTTTTGAATTTTAAAGGCATTCACTTATAGTTTACTCAACTGATTAGGTGCAGGGTGAACTGTAGAGTTCTCATACACATCCTTCTTCTAGCAAAGCTGCCAAAAAGGTGTCACTGGCAGAGAGACAACAATAAGCAGCCAGGGACACTGATGCAGCTCTTTGCCAAATTAGCATCTATCCATGGCCAAAGTCCCATTTTCAAAAGTGACCTAGAGCTGAGCTTCTATAGGTGTTAGGGCACTTTGTTTGCTCTGAAAACAGATTCCCAAGCACTTTCTAACAAGAAACAAGGCACTTCAGTACCAAGGGTAAATTAAAAATCACTGAAACCAGGATTGTGGTATTGAAACCCAAAATGTTCTGTGCCAAGGTTAGTTAAGGGTATTTTTTTCACAAATTTAGCAATATTCCTGAATTGTGCTGTTAAAATATTTGTGAAACCTGAAATACTTTGTTTAAATGTTTACTTTTCAGCAAGTTTTTCAGTTCAGTGGCAGAAACAGTCGTGTTAGCAGATGTTTAGATGTTTTACCTGTCAGATTTCCCTAGTCATTTGTAGAAGTAGAACAACAAGAAGCACGCCTTTATCAGTCTGATTTTATTACTGAATTAAGTTGTTCTTGTGAGTTGGCCCAAGGGGAAAATTTAGAGTCTCAAGCTCTAGCAGTAAATAGTTGATAGGTAGTAATTATTACATGCTGCCTTGTTCCCATTTTAAATAAGGGGAGTTGACTGAGATCACAGTTAAAAGTAATTGTGGATAAACAAAACTGGTATGGGTTTTGGATGTAGCAGAGATCTCTCATTTCACAAATAAGTGATGTTTGAGCATCATGGACTCTTTGTTCTTTACTAAATGAACATAATAGGAAGAGCCTTTCCTGTTCCTCTCAAAACTCTTGGTGATTAATACAGTTCTCAGAGGTTGAGCCAAGATCACTGCCTGCTCTGACGCTTTGACTACCAGATGTAGAAAATGAATTATGTTTTTGTTGAGTAGATGTAGTAATGTAAGCTGATTTATAGATCTCTTTTTAGCTTTGTTACTAAAACCTTGTTAAATATGTCTATAGCTATGCAAATGACTGCATAAATGACTTGCTTTATACTTAATTTTGGACTTGGTAGTTATACCACATTCAGAGGCTATTTTGGGTTATACACCATCCGGTACTATTAGCCCACGTCCCTTGTCCTAAGAGTAGGTTAAATGGCTTTGTGTAGAACTCACTGAAGTCCTGACTATTTTGTAATTTTACTTCCCTCTTCTTTGTCTTTCTATCCCAGTATGGCTAGCATATGGAATTAGAAATTACCATACTACAGTCCTGTGCCCTGAATCATGCCGTGCCAAAGCTTTATTTCTCATAAAAAATAGTTAAGCACATGAGGTTAATATTTCTCCCTATTCTGTAGTTCCCCTGCACAAGCATTTATGAGGCTTTTATTTTTATGAAATATCATTTCTGCTTGCTTTTTAGCATTTAAGTCCAGCTGACTTAAACAGGCTTTGGATCAGGGCATGACAGCGTTCATAGTTTTGTTTCAACAAGTAATACTAGCTGAGTCTAAAAACTTAACAGTATTAAGTCATTTCCTTTAAATAATTAGTTGTGCTTTATGATGCTGAATAGAAGCTTAATGATACGACATAATTTGGCAAGCTTATGTGTGGGTTTTTTTCCCCCTTAAAAAAACACTGGATCTGTGTTTTCTTGCTTCCCACAGGGAATTCTTGGTTCAGGCTTTGCCCTAAAGGTACAACAGAAACAACGACAGAAACATTTCAACCGTCAAATTCCAGCTGCTGCCTCTCTCATACAGGTACTGAGTTCCTGCATTTTGCATGTTATCGTTTATTTCCATTTGTAGGGTTTTTTTCAAAAGCATTGGCAATATTTCCATGCCCAATTCCCATTAAAAATTGTATAGGAGTTACAGATGCAAGTCTTCTAAACAGTTTTGGAAATCCCAACTTTAATGTAAACTAAGCAGAAAAGTTCACTCCCAAATCAGTGCAAACTGTTTAATTCAGCTGGTTAAAATCAAAACTGCATAGGCTATCCTGTAGTTATTGGACAGTTTACCTGGGGAAAATGTTATGAAATATTACACTTGCAGTAGTGAAATACAGAGAGGAGGCTTCATGTAAAATTGTACTTTAAAAAAAATGCATAGTTTCTTGTAAAGGCAAGTGCCAGGTTTGCTTCATTTTTCTTGGGACAAATAAATTCTTAAACATCCCAAATTTAGGAGACTTAAGTTCATGTTAAATGTTAAATGTTAATGTTGACTTAATGTTAAATAGGAAAATCTTGTCTGAACTTTTCAGCTCCAGGATTGGTGGGTGGGAACCACTGGGATTCTGCAAAATCAGACTTTTTTTGTAGGATATCATGAAGGCAGAAAAATTTTGAACTCTTATGTTAAAAATACAGGTGCAGTTCAGTGTCAGCAAGGTCAGTGAAATTTTATCCTTTATTTGGAGTCAATGTTTCACCCTGCAGAAGTATTCATATTGATTCATTCTAGTTTTTTCCAGCTTTTCCTCCCTCACTCAGTATCTACATGTGGCTTTAGAAGCACCGGGTTCAAATTTAAAAGAAATCTAGATGTACACCTAAGCCGTATCATTTTTGCATTCTCATATGACTTATTTCCCTAGCTTCATGAGTGAATGTGGATTTCCAGGTCAGGCTCTTTACGGAAACAGTAGCTAACTGTAAAGTTTATGCTTGGAACTAAACGGTCCTAAAGTTAATGTGAAAAAGGTTTAAATTTAGGGCTCTGGTTATACCCAGAGATTAGCCAAAAATCTTTAGACTCTGTGTGTTTCATTTGGATTGCATGCTCAGAAAGAGGTATGGTTTTGCAAAGAATATATTTTTAGTGTCTCACTGATTCTTTTGGGAAATCAACACCAAATTATTGGGAAGCCTGAGATTTCATGTCCAGAATGCTGTACTTGGCTCCATCTGCAGTGCTGAGGAGTGTAGGATAGTCAGAGTTGCTGACTACCTGTTCTTAGTAGCAGTAATTATGATTTACTAATAGTCTTGGACTTCTAAAGGAGCAATCTATTGAGGGCTCTACAAATAGCTTACAAAAAGATTATTCTTAAACCGAGAAGTTTATGAAGTAAGTACCAGAGCAGACAACAACTGAAATGAACAATACTTTTTTCCTGTATTCCTTCTTGTTTTCTTCTAGAGGCCAGTTGTTTCTTTCAGTATCCTATTATCCATGATGGAAATTATATGGTGATTGTCTGATCCTTTACTGTCCAACTACTCTGTCATTCTGCCTTGCTTTGTTTGTTTCATCTAGTGTTTTCTGGCCTTTCCCACTTCAGATTCCGTGTATGTATATGTGTGTCCTTTCTCATGAAGTGCGTAAGAGAGGATCTGCCTTTTTAAATTTGATACCAATTATTAATCTACTCGGATTATATATTTATATTTACACATTTAGGACAGAATGTGGTAGTGTTTCGTCTCTGGTTGGTCTTGTTTCTTAGCCCTGCTTTTCTTCCTTTTAGTCTTAGAACATGGTATTTTTATCATTGGTGGTTGACAGGAGGGAGGATTGGTTTCAGGTTTTGGCTCCTGGTTAACCGTTAGTGCTGTTCCCTCATGTTCTCAGTCTTATAATTTTGTATGAATATAGCCCTACTGACCACATCACAATTGCGCTTTTTTTTAATAGTACTCTTGTGAGGCAGGGAAAAACGGTATTTATTTTCTGAGTAGGAGTCTGAAACACAGGATGAAATAGGCAAAATGCTCGAGGTCAGAGAGGGAAACAGGCAGAGCAACAAGTTCAACCCCAGTCTTTTGAGTCCACTCTAGAGCTCTCTCTTATTATTTGTTTGTTGCTAATGAGAACAAAAACTGCATTTGAAAATCACAGAATCACAGAATCACAG